GGAGGATGTGCCAAGAACCACTCTAAGAATTTAACGCATTTCCAAAGGTTGGCAATAGTGGCATTATTCTCTTGCCCTGAATGCTTTATGAAAGTGCTAAGATGCTAGCTATCTCTTATGATGTATGTGCAAGTTGTATCTGTAGGATGTTATTTTTCATTTAATTTTTGTTCATAGTATGTTTGATGCATCCATATTCTTTTTGATTAGCTAGCTTAGTTTTATTAATTTACATTGTTCCAGGTCTCCTTAATTTTTTTTAACTTATATTCAGAAACTGAGGAGGAGTATTGTTGTTCATTGATTTGTTCGAGTGGGCACCAGTAACTTCTCCATTGTGAGATATGAATAAAAAAAAGTCACAATAACAGGTCTCATTCTCCTGACTCTGAAAGAGCCTCCAATATGGCAGCATTGGGAAAGACGAGTAAGGAGAGGCTGCTAAAATCTCAGGGTTTGGACGAATGAAGATGTTACAGGCGCCCACTTGAGTAACTTGATGAACAATGGGATGACAGCGATACAGTGACACAGTGATATTCAGTAACTACCTTTTAAACAAATAATCAGGTTTGAAAAAGAAAGTGCAAGAGTTTTCACAGATATACCATGCTGTACTATCCTTATCCTGCCCTGGAGTGGTACTTTTCTTTTTTCTGTTGTGTTTTGTTCAGTGCTTACACCCGGCTGTGCTCAGGGCTTACTCTTTGCTCTGTGTTCAGGGTCCCTCCCTGGGTAAGCATAGGGTTTGTAGCCTTTTCTGTTTGATTCCTTCCACTTAGTAATAAACAGAGACGGTTCCTCCATGTCTTCTCATGACTCGATCATTTAGTAGTGAATAACATCCTGTTGTCTGGATGTTCCTAACTTTATTTATCTGCCACCTACTGAAGGGCATGGTGGCTGAGTCCAGATTTGGCAATTGAGAATGAAGTTGTGAAAAACATCTCTGTGTGAGGTTTTGTAAGGACATAAGTTTTCAACTCTTTTTGGTAAATACCAAGGAGTGCTCCTGCTGGATTGTTTGGAAAGAGCATGTTTTGTTTGATAAGAAGCATCTAAACTGTGTTTTCAAGTGACCATATTTCCACCAGCTCCAAATGAGAATTTCTTTTGCTCTGCATGTTTATCTATCTTGTCTGTTCTCATATTCTGGATTTTGGCCATTTTGACAGCTCATCGTTTTAATTTGCATGATGTGGAATATCCTCTCACATTCTTATTTGATGTCAATATATTATATTTGGTGATGTGTCTGCAAAGGACCTTCAAGTCAGGTAATCTTTTGTATGTTTGAGTTTTTATAGTTGTTTTACATATTTTGAATAACAGTCTGACAAAATGTATCCTTTGCAGGCATTTTTTTCTCAGTTTGTTCCTTGTCTTCTTATTCTTTTAATCGTTCTCAGAGTAGGTATTTTTAATGTTAAAGAACTCTAGCTTATCAATAGACAGACTGAGTGATTTAGACTCCCTAGGACTTCATTTTCTGTGGATAGTTGTACTCTGTGATCCACTGCAATGTTTATGAATGTTGATATAATCTCGAATAATATTGATACAAACAATAGAATGCAACTGTGCAAGTGATATGTCTTTGCTGAAAATCTGTACCTTTTCAGGAAGAACTTTGACCTTGTAAAGATATAGTAGTCATTATTTTAGAGCCTATTTTACTATTTTATAACCATAAAAGTCACTGTCCTTCCATTGTTCATCGATTTGCTCGAGCAGGCCCAGTAACGTCTCCATTATGAGACTTCTTGTTACTGTGTTTGGTAGCTTGCCAGGCTGTCCGAGAGGGGCAGAGGAATTGAACCTGGCTCAGCCAGGCTGGCTGCGTGCAAGGCAAATGCCCTACCACTGTGCTATCACTCCAGCCCTTTTATAATAGTAAAATCTATTTTGCTATTTCTGAATAGAAATTTTTAGGATCCATGTATACATAATGCATGCACTCTTAAAGCCTGATTTTAGCATGGTGCTGGTAGCCACATGTAGTTACTTAAAATTTAAATTTGAGTTTCTTAGTTTCATTACTTTTGAGCTCTTCAGTTGAGGTTACTGTATTAAACCATTTCATTGCCACACAAAGTTCTACTGGGGGGATCTAAGAGTTCTAGAATACGTAGATTGTAGATCAGAATTACCATTTTGTGTGACTTCTTTTAACCTTGTGTTATTTTATTGAAGTAGAAGAAAGAAAATTGAACCCAGTGCAAGTATTTGTATTCATATTATTATTTTTGTTTTGTTTCTTGTTATTTATGACAGCTACTCTTCACTGTAGCTGAATGAATTTTTAGTGCCCCTTGTCTCATTAAGTGCAAAAACTAAATTCAAAACGTACTAGAAATCACCTGCATTTGGACGGATGACCAGTGTGTCTTTGGACCTCCAGTAACTAACAATATTCATCATAGATAGGCTAGAATAGAAACTACTGAAATAACTGCTTTGCATTAATTTAATTTTAGGAATGTGTAACACTCATACTAAAAAATTCTAATTTTCTTCTTTCTTGTCATTGCATAGGGGCAATACTAGGGAGATACATTAGAAGTAGAGAAAAAGGTAAACACAGTCCTGGAAAGTTTGCTCCCAGGTGGTTTCTTAATTCTCTTCCTCCATTGTCCTTGAATCATTGAGTAAATTCATCTCAGGATATAGAAACTGCATTTTCTCAATTTTTTAAACCCTCTTATTTATTCAAGCAATCTTTAACACAGACTTTCGTATGTTTATAATATGACATTTTTGTTCACCTTTAATGGTAGATTGTTATCTCATTTTGAGAATTCTCTGAAAATGTCTTTGGAGAAGAGGGGAGAGACAGCTAGAAATATGTTGTATTTTATATTGCAGTTTTTTCCCAGCTTATGGTCATACCTGATGATGCTCAAGGACTACTTTTGGCTTTGTGCTCAGGTCAGGGGTCATTCCTAGTGTTGGATGCCAAAGGTCCAACTCAGCAATGCTGGGTTTGAACTAGGGTCAGCTGCATGCAAGGCAAATTCTTTACCCCCTGGACTGTCTTGTCTCCGTGGGTCTCTATTTGCAGCTTGATTTTCATAAGACTCTTGTTTAAGTGCTATTGGTTTCGTGTTTGTTGTTGTTTATTTGTTTTTATGAGTGTTGTTTAAGGTTGTTTACAGTAAATTTTAAATATTGAGAGGGTACAGTTACTAAGACTGCATTTAGCTGATGAAAATTCATAGACTCTGATGGTTCAGGAGGAGGATGATCAAAATAGATTGTGATTTGGTGGTTTGCTTATAAATTAAATTTGACTGTTTCTTGAAATATTCTCATTCTGCCTGGTTTATTCATTGTTTATGTTCTTTCCTTATTCTGTAGAGTCTAAGGAGGCACGTTGGAAAGCAGAGTGAGAGCTTGAATGCTCTCGTGGCCTCACAGGTCGGGACCTTATTTGTGAAAATGACCGAGTTTGATTCTTAACTATTGTTTCTCACCATCCTTTCTCTCACTTGCCCTTTGCCAAGCTGTATTTTGTAGCCCCTGAAATGTTTATAAATGTTGTAGTCCCTAATAACTTTGATGCTAAACACTAAACACATGCAATTGATACATGGTCCTAGAACTGATCAATTTTAATTATATTTGAGTTTATGTCAGCATTGCCATTCTGTATTTTAGAAGTACAACCTTTCAGAGCCAGAGTGATAGTACAGTGAGAAGGTAGGGCATTTGCCTTGCACGTGGCTGACCTGGCTTCGAACACCAGTTCCCCATAAGGTCCCCCGATCCCTACCAGAAGCAGCCCCTGAGCACAGAGTCAGGAAGTAAACCCTGATCATCACAGGGTATACCCCCTAAAACAAACAAAAGCACTACCTTTCCACAGGCTGGAGCAATAGGACAGGGATAAAGGCTCTTGCCTTGCAAATAACCAACCCTAGTTCCATCCCTGGACCACATGTGGACACCAACCCCCCTCTCCCACCCCCCAGGCTGAGTCCTGCCAGGGCTCATCCCTGAGTTCAGAGCCAGGAGTTGGCCCTGAGCACAGCCGAGTGTAGACTCAACACTACCCCCTCCCCAGCGTCTTTAGAGAATAAAGAGGTTATTAGAATAAATGCTGAGAAAACCATTGTTCTTCCCTACTCCCCTTCCCTCCTCAGTGCTGTGATGACAGGGGCTTGTGTCCAGGCTGGCATGGGTGCTTGTCCAGTGGGGGTTGCCCAGCCGGTGCTCACACCATCAGCTGCCATTCTTACGGAGGCTTGCACCCCTTCTGTGGTGCTCACACACACACGCACACACCTGGTTGTGGTGTGACCTGAAATTGCCTGTGGCAAATAGCAGAGCTGCTCTGTGCATGTGGGATCCCAGGTATTTGAACCCATAACCACATGCTTGTGAGGCATATTCTCTAAGCCCCTGAGTTAGTCCTCTGCATCTCTGGGAAAATGTAAGTGCTCTTTTACTTTTTCTTTGTTTTGTTGTTGATTTACTTGTTTGGGGGTGGGGTGCGGTCACAACAGGCAGTGCTCAGGAGTCACTCTTGGTGGTACCGGGGGGCTCTATGCAGTGCCGGGGATTGAACTGGGATTGGCTTCAAGGTTGACGGCCATTGAGCTCTTGGCTTCATGCCAAGCAAGCATCATCACTCTGCATACTCTCTCTCCAGCACCATGAACTCATAAGTGATCTTTAGCCGTAGTTACTGTGTTCATTAGATAATGCTGAACAGAATTTCTGCTTCCTCGTTGGCAAAGGCAAAGCCTGTGTTCTATTTTTATTCTTTCGGTTTTGCTTTGGCTTTGGGGGTGTTACAACCCAGCAGTGCTCAGGGCTTTTCTCTTTGGCTCTGCACTCAGGGATCACTCCTGGTGGGCTCCTGGGGACCCTCAGGGAGGCCGAGGACCAAATCCTGGCTGGTGGGCATGCAAAGCAAACGCCCTCCTCATGATCCCATCTCCCCACCCACCCCAGCCACCCTGCATTTTGTTTGACGACACTTTCTGGTTTCCTTGCAGCGATGAAGTCTTACACTCCGTACTTCATGCTCCTGTGGAGTGCCGTGGGCATAGCCAAGGCTGCCAAAATCATCGTGGTGCCGCCCATCATGTTTGAGAGCCACATGTACATCTTCAAGACGCTGGCCTCGGCCCTGCACGAGCGCGGCCACCACACGGTGTTCCTGCTGTCGGAGGGCCGCGACATCGCCCCGTCCCGGCACTATAGCCTGCACCGCTACCCCGGCCTCTTCAACAGCACCACCTCGGACGCCTTCCTGCAGTCCAAGATGCGGAATATCTTCTCGGGCAGGTTGACGGCCATCGAGCTCTTTGACATCCTGGACCACTACACCCAGAACTGCGACATGATGGTGGGGAACCAGGCGCTCATCCGGGGCCTGAAGAAGGAGAAGTTCGACCTGCTGCTGGTGGACCCCAACGACATGTGCGGGTTCGTGATCGCGCACCTGCTGGGGGTGAAGTACGCCGTGTTCTCCACGGGCCTCTGGTACCCAGCCGAAGTGGGCGCACCTGCCCCATTGGCCTACGTCCCTGAGTTCAACTCCCTCCTCACCGACCGCATGAACTTACTGCAGCGGATGAAGAACACGGGTGTCTACCTCATCTCCAGGCTGGGTGTCAGCTTCCTGGTTCTCCCCAAGTACGAGAGGATCATGCAGAAGTACAACCTGCAGCCCGAGCGGTCCATGTACGAGCTGGTCCATGGCTCCAGTCTCTGGATGCTGTGCACGGACGTGGCGCTCGAGTTCCCCCGGCCCACGCTGCCCAACGTGGTATACGTCGGGGGCATCCTCACCAAGCCGGCCCGGCCACTTCCAGAAGTAAGGTTTGCCAAAATCCTTGATCGTCATAGTTTTTTTTTTTTTTTAACCATATGAAGGCCAGTTTGTCAGTTTTTTTTCTTTTTGGGTGACACCCAGCGATGCTCAGGGGTTACTCCTGGCTCTGCACTCAGGAATTACTCCTGGCAGTGCTCACTGGACCATATGGGATGCTGGGAATCAAACCCGGGTTGTCTGCATGCAAGGCTAACGCCCTACCCGCTGTGTTTTCGCTCCAGTTTGTCAGTTTTGATTCTTTTCGGTGGGGTGTTCCTCCTCGGTGGTGCTTGGGATTTATTTATGGCTCTGCGCTCAGTGACAGTTCTGGAGGTGTTTGGGGTGGAGGTGGTGTGTGTCAGGGGCTGCCTGGTACTGGATGGGGTCAGCTGCGTGCAAGGCAAGTGCCGTCAGCCATGAGTGATGTCAGTGATGGTTCCGTTTTTGTCAGAAGTAGGAACGGCTGTGTACAGGGGGAGAGTTCACGGCCCCTCAGCATTATAGACCCGAGACCTGTCAAGGCCCCTTGTGCCTTTTTCCCTTCTTGCATCGTGCAGCTGCCTTGAATGAGCATCTCTGGAAGGGAAAACACTTCTCTCTGCCCGGTGGTACTTAGCTTGTCTGGAAGACAAGTTTCCATTTAGTCATGGTGGTCTGGGCTAATGGGTTCGTTCGTTCATTCAAAATGAGTGTAAGTCATCACCTTTATTTTGCTTATTTTTATTTTTATTTATTTTATTTTTTAGGTTTTTGGTCTTAGGGCACACCCAGCAGGGCTCTGGGCTTATTCCCAGCTCTGTGCTCAGAGATCTCACCTGGTAGGGTTATGGGACCAGACACATAGTTTTCAATGAAACCTTGGATCCTCCTTTCTGTTCCTCTCCCAATTGTAGGAGCACAGTCTCTAAGACTAGATTAGGCCCAGTCAATGCACTGTCTGTAGCACTGTCCTCCCGTTGTTCATCAATTTGCTCGAACGGGCACCAGTAATGACTCCATTGTGAGACTTGTTGCCACTGTTTTTGGCATATCGAATACCCCACGGGGAGCTTGCCAGGCTTTGCCGTGCGGGCGAGATACTCTCAGTAGCTTGCCAGGCTCTCCGAGAGGCGGGGAGGAATCAAACCCGGGTCAGCCGCACTCAAGGCAAATGCCCTACCAGCTGTGCTATCACTCCAGCCCTGCTGGAGTCAATGCAACTAAATAGAAACCAGGTGATTAGAGACCCTCCTTTTGCAGACATGACCACTGGCAAGTCTAGGGCCAATCAGGCATAAGATGAAATCACCTTGTTTTGGAATCACCTTGTTTTGGGTTCCTAAGCAGGTTCACTAATTTTAAAGAAGAACCATGCTTCCCCGCAATGCCATTTCAAAGATGAGATCCAGGGTTCTTTATGAAAACATATGTATTCTCTAAGTAAAACTTGAGTGCTTTTTGCTGGCTGACTTCTCCGTGAATTCTGCCCTCCATCCTATTTTATTTTTTAATCAGTCATCTTAAATTCATAGGGGCCCACCCTGCCTAGCTACTGTTTGAGCGGGTTTGCAGCAACACTTGTTACCCCCCTTTTGCCAAACCTATACATGGATGCATGTCCACAGACAGACTGAAAGCACTCTTTTTTTTTTTAATTGACTCACTGTGAGATACAGCTACAAAGCTTTCATGTTTGAGTTTTAGTCATACAGTGATCAAACACCCACTGCTCATTCTCCACCACTAATGTCCCCAGTATGCCCCCTTCGCTTGCCTCCATGGCAGACAATTTCCCCCATACTCTCTCTCTATTTTTGGGCATTATGGTTTGCAATAGTTACTGAGAGGCTATCACGTTTGGCCCTTTATCTACTTTCAGCATACATCTCCCATCCCGAATGATCCCTCCAACTGTCATTGACTTAGTGATTCCTTCTCTATTCCAGCTGCCTACTCTCTCAGCTCATGAGACAGGCTTCCAACCAGGGAGCGATACTCCTGTCCCTCTTCTCTACTGTCCTGGGGTGTTAGTCTCATATTATGTTATTTTATTTTCCACAAATGAGTGCAGTCCTTCTATGTTTGTCCCTCTTTTTCTGACTCATTTCACTTAGCATGATTCTCTCTCCATGACCATCCACTTATGAGCATGACCTCATCTTTTCTAACAGCTGCATAGTTTTCCATTGTGTAGATGTACCAAAGTGAAATCACTCTTGGAACTGTAAGTTTACTCTTCGTTTTGTCTCAGCACTTGAAGGCATTTCCCAAGAATGATTGTGCTGCTTCTGATTTTCTTTTTTGTTGCTGTTGTGGTGGGGTGAAGGGAGTACTTAGGGCCTCACCTGGCAGTGCTCGGGGGGAGGGGGGCTACCCCCAGCTGTGTGTTCAGGGGTTTACCCCTAGCACTGCTTCGAGGACCATATGGTGTCCGGATCAAACTTTTTGTTTGAAATGGGGTTGTCCACATGCAAGGCCAGTGCTTTATCCCCTGAACTTCCTCTCTGGATTTTTTTTTTAATTGAAACAATTTGTATTCTTAAACTTTTGAAAGTGGTCTCTCCATGCTAGGATGTTTATTTCTATCCTGGTTACTCCGTATCCAAACATTATTCTACCTTCTCTAAGGTGGGCATTGCTGAGGACCATCTGTTGGGCAGAATTTTCTCTTGGGATTGTAATCACTGTATCACTGTCATCCCATTATTCATTGATTTGCTTGAGTGGGCACTAGTAATGTGTGCATTTGTCCTAGCCCTGAGATTTTAGCAGCCTCTCCTTATTCGTCCTTCCCAACGGTGCCCCATTGGAGGCTCTTTCAGGGTCAGGGGAATGAGACACATCATTGTTACTGTTTTTGGCATATCGAATATGCCACAGGAGCTTGCCAGGCAGTATACTCTCAGTAGCTTGTCGGGTTCTCCAAGAAGGAGACATAGACTATAAGATGTTGTGTGGCCGCAGATGCTGCGACTTTGTTTTATAGGAGCTTTGTTTTATAGTGTCTGGATTTTGGTCGTTGATGGAATTACACGGCGCCAGGGACAGTTGGTGGGTATAATGCCTAGCTACTGGAAAATGGGGGATTGGGGTGAAGGAGGCCCAGTCCCTATCTGAGCAGCCTTGGAGATCTCAGGCCCGGGACCCACACACCTGGGTTCCTCTGCCAGTTCCTTCATGTGTGAGGCTCGTCCGAGAACGTGGAGAGTTGCCTTGAGCATGGCTGTGACTGGTTATCGGAGGTCCGTGGCTGCCAGAGCTCTGCTCGTGGTGGGGAGGGAAACTCAACCTGCCCCCCTCCAAAGGACCCGGTGAAGACAGCCTGGTGTGTGGGCAAGTGACTCTGCGTCACTCTCTTCCGGGAGCTTTGTTTTATAGTCTCTGGATCTTGGCCGTTGATGGGATTTCATGGCATCGGGGGCAGCTTGGGGGTCATAATATGATTGGAATAGGAAGCTGTCCATCAAAGTACAACAGACACGATGAAGTGATATGTTTCCTGTAATATGGGAACAGCAAACTGACCAGATCAGTGACCCCCCCCCCCCCCGCCCCCAACCTTTATTTTCAGGGGTCAATGACAGGGTTTAAGCTCAGTTCATTCCAACCCCTCCTGAATGTACCCGAGCCCGTTTGCTTTGCTTTGCTTTTGTGTGTTTGTTTGGGTGTCACACTCAGCAGTGCTCAAGGCTGACTCCTGGGGCTTTGCTCAGGGCTCTGTCCTGGGGCATGGGACCCTGTGGTCCCAGGAAAGTGCCCTGCCCGCTGCAGTCCCTCCAGTCCCATTTGAGTCCTTCCGTACTCCCAGTAGCCCTGCTCTACCTCAGTGGGCTTTGTTTCCATACTGTGGAATCGGTGCCAAAAGGAATCTTCAGGTTGCCTTTTCCTCCCTTGAGTTCCTGCAGATATTTTTCTTACATTGCAGTGCACACCATAGCAGAAGTACCAAGAGAGCTGATGTTCTGTTTCTAATACTACACGTAATGTCAAGAAAAAAAATTGTTTGGGGCCTATAGGTTGTGCTCAGGAGGCCTGGGGTCACCGATATACCAGGGTCAGCCCCATTAAAGCTTGGGGGATCAATCATGTGACATTGGAGATGAGTTATAGTTAATTCTTAGTAAGTTGTTTGGTGTGATTCACCAGGAAAACCAGACGGTCTTGGCAGTTTTTGTTGGGATATTTTTGATTACTCATTCAATATCCTAGCTTGTTGCTGGGCTTCAAATTCCTGTTGATCTGTGTATGTCGAAGAATTTATCCCTGTATTCTATCAGACCCAATCCAGGCCTCCCCACCGTCAAGTCTGAGCCTACCGACTGAGCTTGGTCTTCAGCCCTTGAGATTTTTTTTTTGGGAGAGATAAAAAGTATAACGCAAAAATATTTTCTGGTTTGTGATCATTTGACATTGGCCTGACCTAATTTGTGAACCTTTATTCTTTTTTCCTTCTTTGGGCATAAAAACCTAGGAAGAAAGTTCTGGGTGACTTCTTATTCTTGACCCACGTTTTATGGCATTTTATAGTAATTAACATTTAAATACTCCATAGTTTTTTGGAATTATTTGATTATACTCTCTTTTTTGTACTATTAAAACTATATTGTAGTTATATGCTCTGTAGGTCTGAAAGTGTCTTTTGAGTGGAAAACTTAAAGTTTTTACTTTTTTTTTTTTTTTTTTCTATTTTGGGTCACACCCAGCGATGCACAGGAGTTACTCCTGATTCATGCACTCAGGAATGACTCCTGGCGGTGCTCGGGGCACCATATGGGATGCCGGGAATCGAACCTGGGTCGTCCGCGTGCAAGGCAAATCCCCTACCCGCTGTACTATCGCTCCAGCCCCAAAGTTTTTACTTTTGGTCTTTAAAAAATTTATATTGTAGGTGAGATGGTTACAATAGTTTGTGGTTTTTGTATTCGTGCACTAAGTTATTATACCCTCCCTCCCTCCCCATCCACCACCAAAGTGCCCATGTCTCTCCACCACTGTCCTTAGGTCAATGAAAATTTGCTGTTTAG